AGATTTAGTTGGATTAATTTCAATGTTGTTAAGATTGTATAGTTGTTGTGTATCATTAAGAATATGTTGAAGGGTTTCAGGATTTTTACTGTGCCAAATAGTGTTGTCCATAGAAGCCATAGGAGATATGGTTATTGAAGAGGGTAGAATGTTAGAAATAATTTCAAGTAGTGAAGAGGAGGTAATTTTAAGTAGATGGTTGTTATATTTATTATGAATATAAGTCAGGATTGGGTCATAATAAATTTTCCAAAGAAGAGGTGAATATATTTCACCTTGTTTAATACCTGATTTGATATAAACAGGTGATGTAAGGCCATGTGCAGTAATTATTTTTGCTTGTCGGTTTGTATGTAGTTCAGTAATAAGTTGGATTCCTTCGAAAGGAATACCAATTCTTTTGCAAGTGTCCTGCAATCAAGATATATTGATTTTGTCAAAGGCTTTGGACATGTTTTGAAACATTATCCAGGCTTCTTTGTTAAAATGTTTGTAGTGCTTAATAGTATTGTTGAGGATTTGAATAGAAATATGTGTTGAAGAGTTTTTGGTAGCCGCAAAGTTGAGATTGGAAAGAAGATTATTAGAGTTAATAATATAATCTAGTCTTTGTGTAAAGATTTTAGTAAAGCATTTTTTTATTAATTCTATAATTGAGATTAGGCGGACTTGATTGAGTGTAAAGTCCCATGATGATTTTTTTGGAATAAGAAAGATGTTAGATGTTTTCCAATCAAATGGAATTTTTTGAAGTTGAAGACATTTGTTGATAAATAATTTAAGAGAGATTTGGCCAGTATGGCCTACATATTTAATATGTTCATAGTTTGTTTCGAGAGGGCCTGCAGCTTTTTGAAGAGGAAGATTTTGAATAGTATTTTGGCATTCATCATCAGAGATGTTATTGAATAAGTTTTGGTAATGTATTTCAAGTTCAGGATAAGGTTGGTATAGTTGATAGTAATAAGATGTAGGTTGAATTTCTTGAAGAGATTTTTCATTAAAGTATTCGGTAAAGTGAGCATGGATAGCTTGTTTAATATAATCTTCTTCTGTTAATAAAGATATATTTGTTAGAAGTTTATTAATATTTATACTATTATATTTTTCAAAGATGTTTTTAAAGAATTTTTTGGATTGTGATTGGAAAAGTTGATTGTAATCCACAATTTTTTGTTGGATTTCTTTTTGAGTTTGTTGTTGGTAAAAGGTATTAAGTGCTAATTTAATTTGATTAAATTCTTGTTTAATTAAGGAATGTAAGTTGTTAGAGGTTACATCAATAAGGTTTTCAGAGTATTTAGTTATGTATTCTTTAAGAAGGTTATGAAAGTTGGATGATTGTAGATGGTTTTTTAAATATTGTATTTGCTTATATCTGTAAAAGAGTGCATGTCATTTGGAAGGTTTGTCATCTTTAATTTCCTGAATTGTTTTAATATTTTTGTAAAAAATGTTTTTTAGAGCAGCTTTAGTAAGTGCTTTAAGTATTTTATTCCAAATTATGTTAAGTTCATTTTGATTTGAAATGTTAGATATTTGGTTTTGTAATTGGTATAGACTTTGTGATATTTGATTTGAATAGTTTTCAATATTTTCTTTAGAGCAAGATTTCCAAAGATAGTTTTTTCTAGTATGTTGTTTAGAGGGTTTTGTTTTGTTGATAGTTATAGAAATTTTAAGAGTAATAATTTTATGATCTGATTCAGAAGAGATATCTTCAAGGAGAGTGATTTGGGATTTTAAGACAGAGGCAATAGTCAAAAACTTCAAATTTAAAGTGGGCACCTCTTGTTAAAATAGCTCAGGATTACTTTTAGTGTATTCAATTTGTGATATATTTAAGTTTGTTCATATTTGGTCAATTCTGCTATTATAAGTTGAGCAAGAGAATGTAAAATTTAATGTTGTAGGAAAGAAAAATCGATATATATCTTTAAATTGATGACTAATTAAGCATTTGAGGATTTGAGATTCTGGAATAGAGGTGTTTTTTGAAGGATTTCTATCTTGGTGAGGATTTGGAACACTGTTGAAATCACTGAGTATTATGAGTTGATAGTTAGAATTATTACAGAGTAAAATAATTTGTTCTTGAATTTTGGCATGTAATTGTTTTTTCTCTGAAGTAGAAAGGTAAATTTGAAGAATACGAATAGAGTTGTGTTTAAAATGTAAATCTAAGCCAATTATATGACCATTATAATTGTGTGTTCTGGCAATGTATTTGGAGATTCTTTTATGTATAAAAA